TGGTTATGGTCCTACATGTGCTGCTTTCTGGGAGGGGCCTCCAGCCACAGCTAGCACATCACAGCAAGGGAAGACCCAGAGGAAGACTTGCCTCAAGGCTGATTCAAGATACTTACCCTTCTAAAGGCCTTGCTTGCAAGCCCCTGGCACTGAGACTTGTCAAGTATTCGCCCTGAATATGCCTTTGGAAAGACCTAAGTCTAAGTCCTCTCTTCAGACTGACTGAATTGTCTTCAGACAATGACTGAATTGATCTGAGCCAGTGGCTCTCAGCTGAGGCCATTTTTATTTTTCTCCCCAGAGATCTGATGTTTAGCGATATCTGGAAACACTTGATTGCCTCAGTTTGAGGGTCAGGGTGTTGCTCAGTGGGAAAAGGCCATGAATGTTGCTAAACATTTACAGTGCAGAGGAATACATTCCTCTCTCTCTCTCTCTCTCTCTCTCTCTCTCTCTCTCTCAATGCACACACACACACACACACACACACACACACACACACACACTTCAGAGAATTCTCTGGCTCAAAGTATCAATATTGTCATAGCCGAGGAGCTCTTTTCCAGGATGGGACCAGGAGCAGCGGCATCTTTCAGAATCTTTCTAATTGACTTCACACACCATTCAGGTTGAAAACAACAATTCTACAGACGCTGCTGCTAAGCTTCAGTACAGTGCACTCACTATGGGCCAGCCGCTGTCTTCAATGAAGGCACTCCTTTAGTCTTTGGAATAAGCTTATAAGAACTGTTACTGCTTTCATTTAATATACGAATATAGTGAGGTACAAAAGATTGGCAAATGTGTCTTAAATGTCAGTCCCGGAGATTCAAAGCCTGAGGTGTTTGTGGCATTGCATTCCGGAACCTCCAAAGCTGCCTTGTTCCATCCAGGTAGCTTCCTGTGGGGGAAGGAAGTTTTCACAGAGGGTCCTAAGATAGGTGCAGCTGGGATGGGGGAGACGTACAAAAACACCTTGATGTGTGTGCCAAAAGGCAGCCCCTCATCAGGTATTCTAGTTTATTAGATATCTTTGTCTAACTCAATTTGCTGCATAAAATTTCTTGTTTGTTTGTTTTTGTTTGTTTTCAGACAGCGTCTTCCTTTAGCCACAGCTGGCCTGGAACTGTGTGGACCAGGCTGGCTTTCATCTCACAGAGATCCACCTACCTCTGCCTCCCAAGTGCTATGATTAAAGGTGTGCACCACCACTCCTGGCAAAAAAAATGAGTTTTATCCAGAAATGGTAAACCCATGGTCAAGCAAAAAGGAAAAAGCTCTTATGATTAATTGATTATACTATAATTAAATAATAGTAATTATTGGTATCATCACCAGCTCCACAGCAATAATGGGCTGTGAGGCAGTGCACCTTTTATAGATGGGTGTCTCTAAATGAAAAGCTGGGCTAAGCAGCTGTCAGAAATGCTGACTGTCATCCTAGGGGAAGTTCTGCCAAGAGGAAGAACAGGGACAAGAACTGCGCAAAGCAGAAAGAGTAACAACAGGAGACCATGCTCCTTCTCCATTGAGAACACTCTAGAGGAAAAGGTGCCAGTCACCAGAACTTCCTGGTTCAGTTCCACAAACCTGAGAATGTTTGGGACACAGCTTCTGCCTTCAGGGCCAGGCAGAGGGAGGGCAAAGGCAGATGTGTGCCGTGTTGGAAAGGGCTGTGGTGACTCTCGAATGAGACCCTGGAATCCCACATGAGAACCACAGCCAAAGCTAACTCTTTGATTTCATCTGATGAGACCCTGAATGGAGAGTCTAGTGGTGCAGTGCTTAGTCAGCGGGTCTAGAGAGACTATCAGATACAAAATTTGTGCTGTGTTTCAACTGTAATGTGTGTGACAATTTTTATTTAAGAATGTACACCTAACACTTTGAATACTAAATCAACTTTAAACCAGCTGGGGATGTCGCTAAGCAATACAGCACTTGCCTAGCATGTGTGAGTTTGACCCCCGCCATCACTGCCACCACATACACACACACACACACACACACACACACACACACACACACACTTTACATTCCTGGCTTAAATCCTATTTGGCCAAACATTCCTGGATTAAATCCTATTTGGTCATGATATGTTATCCTTTTATACACTACTGAATTTGATTTGCCAAAGTTTTGATTAGAATTGTTTATGTGTGTTCAGAGAGATAAAGCTGTGTGCAAAAGTGAAATGTTTGAAGAGGAAAGAAATGGAAGTAGTGAGCAGGGAAAGCCTTACAGGTAGAACACACTGGAGTAGGTTTGAAAGCTTGCCTAGTGTTCAATATGGCTGCATAACATGGAAAGTCAAGTGGTAGGAACCGGGATGGAAAACGAGGCCACAGAATGCATCCTTTATATGGGAGACAAGTTGCAGAGCTATTGAAAGTCACTGAGAGGCATAACTGGCTGATGGGGCTGGCAGCAGTGCATAGCCTGGAGTGTGGATCACAGGGCTTAGCTCAGATGCTATATTGACCCCAGAGAGAGGGAGAAGCTGCTTGGCTGGAAAATGGCAGGGATTTTAGCACAAGTGAGAAGGGTGATGGAAGGGCAGAGTCACGGAGAAAGGAGGACTCTTTAAGTAGCAGCAGAGCAAAGCCAGGGTTTTTCCATCACCCAGTGTTTGGAATCAACCACTGAAGCCAAATATGAAAACTGCTGATCAACCCCAGGCCCAGCTACACACGTTCTCCCTAGATCCAGGCCTGGAGACATAGCCCGAGAGTAACAGCTATCTAAGGAGGCTCTGGAGGAACAGGCTCCAAATCCAACCCACCAGGACTCTAAGAAACTGGTTTGAACTTGCTGTGTGCTCTGGGATGGGAACTGGTTCAACTGAATAGATGAGTCAATGTCCCTCAGGAGCGGAACTGTGCCCACTTGGTAAGGGATGGAAGTGTCTCTCCTAGACTTGTAGTCCCAATATAGGATGGGAGCAGAGGCTGAGGGAAAGGGCTTCCCTGAAGGAAGCTGCCCTCAGCATGAGGCAGTGGCAGCAGGACTACCCTGGGCATGTGCTGCATGTTGGATATCTATTTGCTGTGTGGGGGCCGAGGTGTCCTGGAGATTGGACCTAAGGCTTGGTGCATGCTGTATAAGCACTTTACACTGAGCATTTTCCCCAGCCCTTGGACATCTATTCTTGACCCTTTGTAGCATGCTAGCCCCCTAGGAAAGGCACTATATCTTGAGTACATTGGGCAGCCACCTCACAGTGTCTTTTAAGAGCTGCCCTCTAAATCCATTCTTTCTCCAAGAGAACGCACTTCACTTTGACCAATAGAGGCAAGGTCCTCTCATGAAGTGCTGGCCGCCTAGGCAGGGTTAGTGCCTCAGCTTATCTAACCATCTCCCTGGGAGCCCAGAGAGCCTAGTGAGGGGTATGACAAAGGACTGGGACGGACTGAGGAGGAGAGGTGAGAGCGCAGCTAGGAAGCTGAGCCAAACAAGTGGTGATAGAGGCGTGCGAACCCCAAACCCAATCACATTCAAAAAGGGATACAAACATAAAACAAGATGAAATAAATAATTTAAACATATTTGTGACCAGCAATGAGACTGAACCGTAAAAAAGTCTTCCAACTGAAACAGCCCAGGACCACATGGATTCATTTCAGAATTCTACCAGAACTTCCAAGAACACACATCAATACTACTTAGAGTATTCGATAAGATTAAAAAGGAAGGAAGGCTTCCAAACACTTTTTATAAAGCCAGTATTCCCCTGGTAACAAAAGGAGATAAAGACACAACCGAAAAGACAATTACAGACCAATCTCCTTGATAAACATAGAAGGAAAAATTCTCAATAAAGCCCAGGTGTGGTGGTGCATGTGTTTAATCCCAGCCCTTGAGAGCCAGACACAGGCAGATTTCTGAGCTTGAGGCCAACCTGGTCTACATATCGAGTTCAGGCCAGTCAGGGCTATCTCAGAAACACACACAAAAAGCCAGACAAACAAACAAAAAACCTCAATAAATATTTGCAAACCAAAATTCAAGATCATGTGAAAAAGATCATTCCATGACTAAGTTGGCTTCATTCCAGCAATGCAGGAATGGTTCAACATGCATAAATCAATAAATATAATTCATCACACAAATAGACTCAGAGACAGAAATCACATGATCGACTCTAGACTCAGAAAAGGCCCTTTGATAAAATTCAGTATCCCCCTTCATGTAAAAGTCGTAGGGAGGCTAGGGATGGAGGGAGCATGCAGCAACATAACAAAGCTGTGTACCACAAACCTGGAGTCAACGTCCTGATGGAGGAAAACACAGAGCAGTCCCCGTACGATCAGGAATAAGACAAGGGTCTCCACGCTTGCCACTTTTGTGCAATGTAGTGCTTGAAGTCTTAACTAGAGCAAAAGACGAAAAGTAAAAGGGGTACAAGTAGGAAAGAAGTGTATCCTTATCTGCAGATGATATGATTCTATGAGACCCAAAAACCTCACCTTTAATAAACACTTTCACGAAGGGCCAGCACCCAAAATTAACACATAAATCATTAACTTTGCTATATACTAATGACAAATATATTCAAAAAGAAATCAGGGAAACAATCCCATTCACAATAGCCACAAAGTAAATGAATAAATAAATAAATAAATAAATAAAATGCCTGTTAATAACCCAACCAAGGAAATGAAAGACCTCTACAATGAAAACTTTAAGACCCTGAAGAAATCTGAATGCTGGAAGATGGAAAGGTCTCCCACAGTCATGGATCAGAAGAACTAATCTTTAATGGTCATTCTAGCAAAAATAATCTACAGCTTCAATACAATCCCAATCAAAATTCTAGAGCCATTCTTCACAGAAATAGAAAAAGCAATCTCACCCGGAGTGGTGGCACACACCTTTGATCCCAGCACTTAAAGGCAGAGGCAGGTGAATCTCTGTGAGTTCCAGGTCAGCCTGGTCTACATAGGAAGGACAGGACAGCTGGGGCTACAAGGAGATCCTGCTTCAAAAAGACTAATAAATATGGCACTATTTTTAACACTGTGGATGAGAACTTTCTCCACCCTTGGCTACGCTGTAGTGCAGAAGAATTCCTGGTTCTTTGTTGCACAGCGGACCTCTGCCGTTTTGCTATTGCTTTATGGATTTAAGAAGAAAAAAAAAAAGATCAATCAATCAATCAATCAATAAATTGAAAAAAAATCTCAAAAATTTTATGGAGGGACAAAATACCAAGGATAGCCAAAGCAATCCTGTCAAAACTACTGCTGGAGGTATTAACATACCTGACTTCAAAAGATAATCCGACCACAGTAACAAAGACAACACAAGAACGAAGTACAGCTCAATGGACGAGAATCGAGGACCATAAGTCCATGAAACTACAGTCACTCCGTTTTTGACAAAGACACCAAAAGTAAACACTGGAGAAAAGGCAGCATCTCCAACAAAGCCTGAATTTCAACGTGCAGAGAAGTGAAACTACGTCTCTTGCTTTGCATGAAGCGCAATTCTAAATGGATCAAGGACCTCAACACAAGACCCGATACCTCGCAACTGCTAGAAAAGAGAGTCCGCCTCGACTCAGACGCAGGGAAGGACTTTCTGGGGAGGTCTCCAACGGCAAGGGCAGTGAGACCAACAGTCAGCAAGTGAGCGCTCGTAAAACTACAAGTGTCTATACAGCAAAGGAAACTGAGTGCAAAGACAGCCTACAGAACGGGAGAAAGTCCTTCCCAGCGGCGTCTGGCAGTCTAGAATATATAAAGAACACAAAAACGCTCAACATCAAGAAAACAACCGAATTTAAAAATTGGCTATGGAACTGAACAGAAAGTTCTCAAAAGAAGAAATATAAATGACTAGTAAACACTTTTTCTTTTTTTATATTGTCCCACTCCATAAACACTTTAAAAATTTTTTATTTATTAGTATCAGTGTATTGCCTGCATGTATGTGAGTGCACCGTGTCATGCAATGCCCCAGAGGTCAGAAGAGGGCTTCGGATTCCCCTGGAACTGCAATTAAGCCACTATACGGATGCTGGGAATTGAAACCAGGTCCTCTGCAAGAGCAGTCGGTGCTCTTAACCACTGAGCCATTTTTCCAGTCCCTGTAAACTCTTTTTCAAAGAAAAATTTAAAATATTAAAATGAGGGCAGGGGCTGGAGAGAAGGCTCAGCAGTTGAAAGCACTGGCTGCTCTTGCGGAGGACTGGAATTCAGTTCCCTCTTCTTACCTCCTTGGGCATTCCATGATACAGTCATGCACATAAAATTTAAAAAATAGCCGGGTGTGGTGGCGCACGCCTTTAATCTCAGCACTTGGGAGGCAGAGGTAGGAGGATCTCTGTGAGTTCAAGGCCAGCCTGGTCTACATAGTGAGTTCCAGGACAGCTGGGGCTACAGAGAGACCCTGTCTCAAAAAGACCAAAAAAAATTTTTTTAATAAATTTAAAAATTAAGGGATAGATGATAGATAGATAGATAGATAGATAGATAGATAGA